TTTGAGAGAATGTGGGGCTGGAGAAGATGCTGAGGATCCCATGGAGAGTCAAAAGGACAAACTAATGGGTCCTAGAGCAGATCAAGCCAGAGAGATCCCTAGAAGCCAAGATGGCAAGACTTAGACCAGGGGTAGGCAACCTAAGGCCCGGGGGCCGAATGCGGCCCCGCGAGGCCTTTGTACCAGCCCCAGGCTGGTCCTGCCGCCGCCGCCGCCACCCACCACCATGATGATATTGATTATTGTTGTTATTACTTGTACTTGGGGTTTTCTTGGCAAAATCTCCACAGGGGTTTTGCCATGGCTTTTCTGGGGCTGCAAGAGTGCGCATGCATATTTTTTTAGGGTTTTTTAAATTTTAATTTTAATTTTAATTTTAATTTTAATTTATCTATTTATTTATTTATTTATTTATGGTGCTTCGGCCCCCCAATTGTCTGAGGGACAGCAACCCGGCCCCCGGCTCAAAAAGGTTGCCTACCCCTGACTTAGACTGTCATACTTTGGACCCATCATGAGAAGGCATGGATAATTGGAAAAGACAATAATGTTAGGAAAGGTAGAGGGAAGGAGAAGGAGAGGAAGGTTGCATGCTAGATGGATGGACTTTATTAAAGGAACCACAAATATGAGTTTGCAGGAGCTGGGCAGAGCAGGAGAGGACAGCGGGGCCTGGAGATGGCTCATCCATAGGGTTGCCATGGGTCGAGACCAAAGCAAAGGCAGTTAACAACAAAAAAATACTGGAAGGTATAGCGTTCTTTGGAGGAAATAATTTTGCCTTGAGTTCTTTGAAGGAAAAGGAACTACAAATGCCAAAGAAAATTTTAATACTCTTTGTACATGGCGTAGTGTTTTGAGTGTTGGCCTCTGACTCTGGAGCCCAGGGTTTGATTCTCAGCTTGACCACGAAACCCACTGGGTGACCTTGGGCAAGTCACACTCTCTCAGCCTCAGGGGAAGACAATGGCAAATCTCTTATCAACAAATCCTGCCAAGAAAACTCCATGACAGGTCCACCTTAGAGGCACCATAGGTTGTAAATGACTTGAAGGTACACAACAATAACAACAACAACACATTGAAAGCCCTACAGGGACTAGGTCCAGACTATCTATTCTGGACCCTATTCAAAGATATAGCTGTGTTAGTCTGTAAAATCGGTATGCAAAGAGATCTTGTAGCACTTTTGAGACTAACTGAAAGAAAGAAGATGGCAGCCTGAGCTTTCCTAGACTTGAGTCTCCTTCCTCAGATGCATTATTTGGTGAAGTGGAAGCCAGGGACAGACCTATATATGCCATTAGTATGTGAGAATGTCAATTCAAATTCAAAATCTCTGACAAAAAATGCTAAATGTCTCACAAAACTACAATTCTCCAGAATTCGATAGCATTGAGTCGTGGGAGTTAAATTAGCGTCAAACTGGATTATTTCTGCAGAGCAGATGCAGCCTAAGTGAGTTTCCTTGCACAATGGGGACTAGAAGCTTTACTCTCTCAACTTCAATCTCAGCACTCTTTAATTATTTGGTTAAACCTCTGTCTTCCCCAGTTCCCACCAAAGGGTTTAATACACACCAAGGTTACCGTGTGGCATCTAAAAATATGCAGTGACTTTTCTGTACTTTCTCTAATGAGTCATCCCTTTTTTAGTAATTTATTGCAAGTTGCATAATTGCTTTAATATGCAGTGCCACAGAACGGAGTGGAGGGAGAAGGAGGTGAGGAAAAACATTTTGAAGGCAATTCGACAAATTGTCCGTCAAAATAATAATTGCACACTTTTGAACTTTCATGATGCTAAATCTACTGGAGGGGGGGAATAATAAAATTAGAGAGAGAAAATTGCACGTAGAATGCTAATAATCCATATAATAAACTGAAAGTGCCACTGAATTTAGATTCCATTGTAAATCCACTGGAATTACGACTCTTGTCGTTTGTCTGGGGATGATGTGAGTTGTAGTCTCACACCTCTGAAAGGCTCGAGATGAGGCAAGGTCAGAGGGTCCCCATGAGTCAGAAACAACTTGAATGCACACAACAACAACAACAACAACTAACTTTGTAGTGTGAAAGGGCCCCATCCTATGGCAATAGGGTTGCCAGTTCAAGATTGGACCAGGCCCTGGGATTTCTGGTACAGTCTTGAACCTGAGACTTAGGGTAGCCCCGGTGATGCCATTCAGTGCTATGCATTATGCTCACAGCTTGTCTTTCAAACAAATTTTCCTGTTTGGAAACTGAGAAAAAATCTTAGCTAAAGGGGCTTTTCCTAGTTGAAGGAGAAATGGGAGGATTATCTATTCTCACTTATTTAAGGAGACAGGAATATTTAACATAGCCTATTTGTTGCTAAAAATGTTCCTGTCTCCTTAATCTATGAAAGAATTAGACAAGATCTTAAATTGCAGAGATATACAGTCGGCCCTCTGTTTTCGTGGGGGGAATCTGTTCCGGAACACGAAAACCCCACGAAAACGGAGACTCGCCAATATTCAAGCCCCATGGTCGCATAGGGGTGGCTTCATTGATCTTAATGGAGGTCGCCCCTCTGTGAGTATTCAAAACCACAGATCTCAAGTCCGCAAGAATGGAGGGGCGACTGTACAACTGAACACCATATACAATATACAAGTGAGGATTGTCCAAGCCATTGTATTCCCCATTATCATGTAAGGCAGAGGTAGGCAACCTTTTCCCCTTTAAGGGCCGAGGCACTTCAGCTCCCAGAAGCCTCAGCCATGTTGGCCAATAGTCCCATGTTGGCCAATAGCTCCTGGGATTCTGGGAGCTGAAGTCCCTCGGCCCTTAAAGGGGAAAGGTGGCCTACCCCTGATGTAAGGTATGAAGAAGGAAAACTAAGGAAATACAGCATATCAAGGGATCTTCTAGCACCTTTGAAAGAAAGAAATTGAAAGATATAGCCATGTTAGTCTGTAAAATCAGTATGTGAAGAGATCTTCTATCCCCTTTGAGAGAAACTGAAAGAAAGCAGTTGGCAGCATGAGCTTTCATAGACTTAAGTCTATTTCCTCAGATGCATTTGAGGAAGTATCTGCATCGAGGAAGCAGACTTAAGTCTATGAAAGCTCATGCTGCCAATTTCTTTCTTTCAGTTAGGAGATTATCGCACATGGATAAAAACGTGACTTACCTCTCCCGAATTCAAGTAAAATTTGGGCTGCATCCAGGTGTTAGCATATATGATTTTAATAATAATAATAATAATCTACCCTGTCCCTCTGTCAAGCAATCGGGGCAGCTTACAACAGCTAAAATTCCATACAGTTATTTATCTCATAATGCACTCTAAACCCCCAAAAAACCCCACAGACATGTAGAGTTCCTTCAATGACCCCGAACTCACCTCTGTGG